TCCCGGGGGTGGGGGCCGCACAGCCACCCCGGGGGCTGCCAGCTTGGGATGGCTCAAGGAGGCTTGTCCTGCCGGAGATTTTGGCCAAGGGAGGACAAGGCATGCAGCGCGATAAACGCCTGTGTGCCCTTCTGCTTGTTTGAAAGACGCCTGCTCTCCCGCTGGCTGTGTCCCACCTGCTGAGGTTCAGCCCTGCTGCAGGGTCAGCTCGGCCGCGCTCCGGGACAGCGCCGGGCTGGGGAGGGTGCGGGGGGCTCACGGAGGCTGCGGTGCCTCCTGGTGCGGGGTGCAGGGTGCTGGGTGCTGCGCCAGCATTGCCCCATCCTACTGCTGTGCCAGCATCGCCCCATCCTGCTGCTGCACCAGCATCGCCCCATCCTGCTGCTGCTTGACTCTTCCTGCAGGCAAAGACATTTCTGAAACCTGCTGTCCTTGTGTATTTGCACCCCCTAAACAGACTAGCATGGTGAAATTCAAATTTCCATCTAGCTCCAGGACCTGGAAACCCAAATTCCCCTGCGCTCGTAGCTGATGTCCAGCGGCTGTTGGCAGCTGACCGGGCAGTTCCCAGGGGTTCATTACTGCTGCTGCTGTAGTTGGACATTGTCCTTTCTCCAGCCCTCGCACAAGCATCTGGTCCTTCTCTCCCAGACTCAGTAAACCTTTGGAGGGCCCGTTTACATTACGGATAGCCTGATACATGCAGCGAGAGGCAATATATCAGCAATTTAGTTATTGTGGATTAGGTCTCGAATATCCCGGGGATATAACGCTGGTCTCTCTCACCTTGTGTGTAGGAGGACTAATGGTAAATTATCTGGATGGTTTACATTTTCTGGTTTGTATTGGAGGTCCCAAGGACCAATTTATCCTGATTGAATTGCAAACAAGGCTTACTGTCATCTCAGATGCAGAGGCCAGGTCTCTCCATAAATGAATTCAGAGCAATTCGGGTCATCCCAAATTCTTCCTGTCGATGGGATAATGGCATAAATCCTGCTAATGTTTAGACTGGAAATTGTTTGCAGCAACCTGAGCTTGACTGATGGCTGCAATAGCAGAAAGAATCATAATTTGTGTCCTGAGGTGAGGATGGGAAGAGCTGGAACTCGGCCCTTCTGCTGCAGCCTCTGCTAGTGGGCACACCACAGACACCGTGAGCCTTCAGGGAGGTTTTGGAACACAGGAATGGTGCTAGTGACCTGCCTTGGCACTGGCTTTTCAGCACCCAGCAGCTTTTCTATGCTGAGTGAGCAGCTGTGGCCAGATGCCCAGGCTCTCTTTGGGCTAGAAAGCAAGGAAACAAGGGGAAAAAAGTGTGTGCTTGTCTGGTTTGTGCTCGCAGCCTCAAGGTTTCCCATGGCACTTCCCTGCCCTTGTGCTGAACAAGCCCTGAGGGATGGGGTATGTGGCAGCGGCATGAGCTTCACGCTGGCTCTTGGCACGCCGGGGCTGTGTTTGCTCCCGAAGCGTCTCCCTGCTGCCGTCCCGCACCGAGGGGACTTGGCCTAAACTGTGTGTTGTGTAAACACTGCAGGGCGCGGAGCGGGTTCAGCGTGTGCTTCCTGCGAACGCGCTTCACCTGCGAACCCGCCGTCGTTAAAAACAAGGGGCAGGAAAAAAAAAGGGGGGGGCGGCACCGCGCTCCCTCCAGCGCAGCCGGCCCTCGGCACTAATTCGCGGAGTTTGGACCGTGCTGTACTGGTGCTGCCCAGCTCACACCAGTCAGTGTCCCCGGGCGCTCTGGCTGTGCCGCGCCGGGCCGTGCATTGCCATACTGGGCTGTGCTGCCTG